ATGAAGTAATTCTTTATGATCTGATTGACTACACATCTGATACATTCTGTCATTGATGAAGATTTCATTCAAGAACTGTTTCGGATCATCAAATGCGCGCTTGTAATAATAGTTTGTAATCTTTTTGTAAATAGCCCCAGTTCCAAATTGACGGCGATATCGGTCCTTCGCGATTTCAATCATCTTCTCTTTCAATATGAATGACGGCTTCTTCTTTGATTTCTTATCCGGTATTTTGGCTGTCTCACCCTCTGTCGGTTCAGTCTCGGTCTCAGTTTCAGTCTCAGACTCAGTCTCGGACTTGGATTCGTACTTGAGTTTCCAAGCCTGATAAGCCTTATGACAAGTCCCCCCAGCGATTGCTTTGAGTTTGCGGATATCAACTTGAATTGGATACCTAATATTTGGGCCATCATTGTCGTAACTAATCATCGATGTCTGTTCGCAAAACCACTCGCCATGATGAAATCGTAAAATTGCTGCGTATGTACGACGCATGATTGCAGGATCCTTGCCCGGCATTTGATAGAACATACGAGCTAGATTCCAAAGATTTTGTTTATCGTCAAGCCAACGCTTTGGGAGTAAGCAGCATAGGTCGTACAAATATTTATCATAATCTCCACTCAATAGAATTAAATCGATCAGACTATCAAACTCAACTTTATGGACTGCTTCATCGAATAATATGAATTCATTTTCTGATCCAAACACTAATCGCAGAATGTGCTTTGGTGTTTGGATCTCACCATTAGCTTTCATCGCTTGTCGTTCGATTTCCGAGCATTCGAAAAACGGATAAAACACAACCGTCTTTCCAGCATTCATTAAGTCAATATGCTCCCCTGCTTTAAAGTACTTGAAATTCAAACCATCGCGGGCAACAACCTCAAAAACAGCCTTGTGCATCCATACATCATCGACAGCTCTCATAGCATGTTTGTCCGTTTTATATTCGTATAATGGCGATTCATATCGACACCCAGTAGAAATATTTTCTACTGATTCAGTCTTTGAATCGCTTAGTATAACAATGTCAGTCTGATTCGACTTTGTAGAGGTTGTATCGGGAGACATAGGTGGTACTATATTTTTCGAGACAATTTCCTTATCAATGTTGATAAATTCAACTGACTCATTTTTATCAATATTTTTTTCAGTGATGGTTACATCTGCAGAGGTCTCAATCGGCTTCTGGTTGATATGCTGAGAGCACCAATCCGCCTTACGGGAGCACTGCTTTCCGCTTTTCGTAATTCCGTTGCACATATTAGTGTAGTATCTATGGTATATACATAGATATAGCAAGTGTTAAATATGATCGGTTTTATGATTTTCATATTTAAGAATTGGTCATAGATATATACGTACATACCCATGGGTGGATACTATAACTTTATTCAGAGCGTATCGGGTCATTCAGGAGGAATGTTTAAGGTTGATCGAGATACTACAGCTGAAACAGCAGAAACTACGAATCC